GTCTTGTCTTCTGTTCACGGGCTCAGCAGGTGATAGGCCAGGCTGTGTCGGGGCAGGGGGCGGGGTCTGCAACTTAGGACAGACTAAAGTCGCTGCCCTTGTAGGGCTGGCTCTTCTAGTCAGTGGGGAGGCAGTGTATATACAATATATGATAACGCAGCGGCATATGTAATGCTACGGAGGGGCAAGGGGATGGAGAGTAGGACCCGGCAAGGCCAGGAGAAGGCTCCTTGAGGTGGTGACCCCGGAGCAGAGACCTGAACGAAGCCAGGGCTACCACCACTGAGGACTTTGGGGAGACAGAGCGGGCCTGAGCAGCAGCAGCAGCAGCAAAGCCCTGAGGAGGAGCAAGGGGGCAGGGTGGTACGGTGTGAGGAAGGGAGGGCGGCGGGGTGGGTGCCGGGAAAAGTGTGGCTGGAGGAGGGGTCAGATCACGTAGGGCTTTGCAGGCCCCCAGAGGATTTGAGATTTTGTACCGAGGCTGATTGGTGTGAAACCTGAGGGTTTTGATTGACGGATCTCCTTGGCACCTGTGTGGTGACTGGCCAGTCCGGAGTCCACTGCACTCGTCTGAGTGGCTTGAATCAGAAGTCCTTAGAAGGATGTTACCACTTTTCTGGGTTGTCCACCGCGTCCTCCCTTCAGAAGTCACCCGAAGGGGGTGACTTTTCTGAGTTGTACAGTCAGCGTGTGAATGTGTCAAGAAGTAGCCGTTTTGCTTTGTGAGCAGTCGTTTCCTCTCCTGTACAATTGGGGGCCCGGATGGCAGGGGGCTGCCCGTCCATCATCGCCGGCTTGCTCGGGGATGGATACCAGGCCCTGGGGGCTTTCTTGCGTCTGCCTGGTAGTCCTGACAGAACACCAGCTGGGTCCACTTGGGCTCGGAATGCCGGTTGTGCCCTGGTTGCCTGGGAAGGTCCTCCCAGAAGCCAGCAGCTTGCCCTGTCCGTGGTGTTGCAAGAGCGTGATAGAAGCTTGTGGGCTTGGCAGCTCCCACAGGGTTGGCGAGAAAGGCCTGCGCCCCACTGAGGACACACTCAACGTGTTTAGAAGCTCACGCTTACCCACAGACGGCGTTCTCTGTGGACACAACTTAAGCTTGCTCTCTGATGTTGGGTGGCAAGAAAGAGAGGTTGAGATGCTCTTAGGATCCCAGCCATTGGAAGAACACCTCCCATTTAGGAGTCAGCTGGTCCCGGGACCACGCCTGAGGGCCTGTTCAGAGTGGCCCCTTCCCAGTAGTGTGCAGCAGGGTAGGGCTGATGCCCAGAGTCCCCAGATGCTACGGGGTCAGCCCTGTGGCTTTAGTGGAAGTCAGATGAAGCAAGGTCACATTGCATAAGCTGCTGGGCTATGACTAAGGCCTCTCTCCCCGAGTCCAGGAGCCATGATTGTGATCACAGTGGCCACGTGGGGAGAGCGCTGCTGATTGCACAATGGGATGATTCAGATTCCAGGACTGAGCTCAGGCGGCCTTGCTGGTAAAGGGCAGAAGTCAACAGCCCACGTTGCAAGCGCTCTCACGCTGGCCTTTGTGGACTCACAGCAGGCCAGCCGACTGCCCAGTGGAACATCCTTCACGGGGGAATCTCAGTTGGCAGGAGGACTCCACAAGACCACCCTCAAATTCAGCAGCTTGCTGGGAGGGCCACCCAAACTCAGAAAAGCTGTTACCCGCACAGCCAGTGACTTGTAATGGCAAAAGGGTGCTGATTCAAACCAGCAAGGACAATGGTGTAGAAGGTGGAGTCTAGGAAGAGCCAGATGCCCTGGGGCATAGTGGTGACACAGTGAGCTGCTAACCGAATGGTCAGCAGTTCAAAACCAACAGCCGCTCTGAGGGAGACAGATGAGGCTTTCTACTCCTATAAAGAGTTACAGTCTCAGAAACCCACAAGGGTAGTGCCACCCTGCCCTCAGAGGGTCACTATGGGTCTAATCGACCCGATGGCAGTAAGTCTGTTTTTCTTTCTGAGGGGGAACCAGACACGAGCATCCAGTTGTCATCTCCCTGAGGGAGGTGCAAACTCACTGCCATCAGGTCACTTCTGACTCCGAGGGACCCCCACATAGGCTTTCCGAAGCTGTGAATCTTTAGAGGGGCAGACAGCTGCATCTTTCTCCCATGGAGCAGTTGGGGACATTGAACCACCTGCTGTGTGGTCACAGCCCCACCAGGGCTCCTCAGTGGAGTTGTCAAAGGTACTTGATTCTCTTAGCAGTGATGAGTGATATTGTATGCCGAGTGTCATTACCAAACCAGGGGCATCCACCCACGCATGGGCGTCCAGGGTTTTTCCTGGAGTTTTACTGTCAGTCACGTGGCCTGGGAAGTAGAAGATATCAGCTCCTTGATATCCAGCCCACCCCCTCCCTCCTCCCTCAGGTCAAGCTGATGCAGGGTGGTCCAGGGCCCAGGTGAACCATTGTAGGCATTTATGTAAATCACATCCTTAGTGCAACTCTTATCTTGGCTAAGGTGTCCGATATATGCAGATTACGCCTGTCAGGGACAGTGCTTCCTCACAGGGCCAGTCCCAAAGGCCTGCGAGATGGGCAGGATTTGGGGAAAGGTTTGTGAGGACATGGCCCCGTTTCTTCTGTGGGCCCAACCCCTCTGCAGTGTCTTTGGGTTGGAGGATGCTTGATGATGTCAGAGGGGTGGGGCTGCCCTTCCTTGGCTTGCTGTGGCTCCAGGTTTAGCTCGACCTTTAGCTTGTATTCAAGGTAGACCCTAGGCTGGGGCTGTCGCCACCCAGGCCATGGCCTTGTGACACCACCCCCCCCATTCAAAGCTGCAGCTGACCCCTAGTGGGGCCTTGCCTCGCACCCCCACACCTCTTGTCCTCAGCGCTCCGTCTGTTTCCTGCGGCCCAGGCCGGAGCTTTTCAGTGGGGCCCCAGCCCTGTGCCTTCCTAATGGTGGTGTTTCTCCCTGCAGACAGTTTGAGCATCGAGATGGGGGACACCAGCGCAGACGCCAGCACCACAGTGTCTGAGGCGGTGACTGAAGATGTCTCTCTCTTCAGCATGACAGACATGATTCTCTTTACCCTCATTGTGGGTCTCCTCACCTACTGGTTCCTGTTCAGAAAGAAAAAGGATGAAATCCCCGAGTTCACCAAGATCCAAACAATGTAAGTGATGCTGCCCCGGTTTCCCTTTGTGGCGTCTCTTTCTCCGTGCCCACCGTCCCACCATCCCTGGACCAGGGCCCTCAGGCAGAAGGGGGCTGACAAGGAGCAGCATTGTGGGGGGAATCTTGGGGTTTGCCTAATTGGTGGACGATGCGTCAACTCTGCCTTGGGTTGGCACAGTGTACCAGGGTTTGCAAGGTCCTTGTTGGTGTCTGTTCTGTTTTCTGATCTTTACTGCAACCATTCAGAATCGAGGGGACCACTTTCCAGATAAAGAAATTGAGGCCCAGAAGCAGAAAAGGAACTGGCCAAGGTCCTCGGTCAGGAGGAGCCCTGGTGGCGGAGTAGTGGTTACGTGGCGGCTTACTAACCACAAGGTCAACAGTTCAACACCACCGGTCAGTCATTCCTTGGGAGAAAGATCGGGTTTTAGTCTCAGAGACTACAGCGGGGTGGCACTACCCTGTCCTGTAATATCACTGTGAGTTGGAATCGACTCGATCGCGGTGCATGTTGGAGAAAAAGCCAGAACCATTTGAAAGCTACCCCAAGCCCAGCCCCCTTGCCACCTGGTGAACACACGGGGTCACAGCGGTGCATTTTACAGTCACAGAAGCACACAAGGAAACATGAGTGGCCAAGGGGCAACGCGGTATACACCACTGCCTCCCCATGGTGGGGTTCCAGAGCCAGCTGCGAAAATCACCCCCAAGACTTTAGCCTTCTGCAGCTGCAGTCACGGTCCCGCCTGCACCCTGGCGGTGTTGGATCTCAATAGATCCCTCTGCTCAGAGGGCTCTGGGGACACCGCCCTGCCTTGCAGGGGACTCAGCAAAGGGCAGGCCTTGCTGGCACAGCACGAGTGCCCTCCTACTGCCAAGACTGGCCAGGCCAGGGGAAGGCGTCGCATCCACCATTTTCCCAGCTCGTAAAGTTAACCGCCATTAAACATCCCTTATGGGAAAGGAAGAACGCGGCATCAGGACTGTAGGAAGGCTGATTGACAACCTGCCGCGTGCAGATGACACCACCTTGCTTGCTGACAGTGAGGAGGGCAGGAAGTCTTTGCTGGTGACGATCACGGATCGCAGCCTTCAGCGTGGATCACAACTCAAGGTAAAGACCAAAATCTTCATCACGGGCCCAATCGGTAGCGTCATGGTAACCAGAGAAGAGATACTACTTGTCAAGGATTTTTATCTTGCTGGGACCTACAATCAGTGCTCATGGAAACAGCAGCCGGAAGGTAAGCAATGCATTGCGTTGGGTAAAGTGACCGCACAAGAGCTCTTTACATTGTTGAAAAGTGAGGCTGTTACTTTGAGGACGAAGGTGCCCCTGACGCAAGCCAGGGTATTTTCAATCACCCCATCGCATGTGGGTGTTGAACACTGAATGGAGAAGATTTGATGCATTCGAGGTATGGTGCTGACGAAGAACGCTGGAAGGAGCCCAGACTGCCAGAAGCACAAACAGATCTGTCTTGGAAGAAGGACGGCCAGAAGGCTCGTCAGAGAAGAGGATGAGACGTGGTCTCACGTGCTGTGGCTGTGCTGTGAGGAGAGTTTAGTGCACAGGGAATAGCCCTGTCTCCTGAGACTCCTGTGAGGGTGAAGTACCGTTCTGAAATCACCTGGCACAGCTTCTGCTGAGTGTTGGTACTACCATATACTGTATTCTGCTCCGAAACACTCCAGACTCCCTGGCATCGGGTCGATGCCGCCATAGCGACCCATAGGACGGAGTCGAACCGCCCCTGTGGCAGTTCCGTAGCTATAACTTCTACCGGAATAGACAAGCCTCGTCTTTCCCCCATGAAGGGCTGGTGGGTTTGAACCAGTGACTTTTCAGTTATCAGCTCAACACATAGACCACTACACCAGCCGTGCTCCCTCAGTACTGTGCAAGGCGCTGTAAGAACCCCAGAGATGACTCGGAGAAGCAGAAAAGAGGGTGTTGAAAGGAACTCTCTAAGAATCGTGTAGGAAATGCTGAATGGACCCCACCCAGCCCTCCTTTGTAACAGCCTCGGGCACTTTGCAGGGGAGGCAGCTCATCTCTCTCGTGACTGAGGGGCTCGGCTTCATGCCCACAAGTGGCAAGGCTGGGTCAGAGCTTTAGGAAAGAAGGGGTTCCCTCTAGTGGAGGGTCTAGGGTGGTTCTCTGTAGCGTGGGGTGTCGAGTTTTCTTTACGTGCCAGATCGGCGGCCCAGGACAACACCAGAAATTCTCAGAGCGTACTCTCGTGGTCAGGATGACCCAGGACTGGGTGGTATTTCGTTCCGGTGGACATAAGGTCACTGTGCGTCAGAACTTACTTCGCAGCACCTAATAACAACGTTATTTTTCAACGCGCCCGAGTGGCATGCTGAGTTATAAGTTGGGCTGCTAATCCAGGTCAGCAGTTTGAAACCAGCAGCTGCTCCCTAGGTGAAAGATGAGGCTTTCTACCCCCTAAAAAGTTGCAGTCTTGGAAACTCACAGGGCAGTGCTACCCTGTCCTCTGGGGCCGCTGTGAGTCAGCATGGATTCAGTGGCTGTGTGTTAGAGTGAGTTAATGATTCTGATTTTTGATGGGTGCTGTGTTTGTTGTCGAGACTATATACAGCAAAGCATAGACTAATCCAATGGTTTCTACACTCACCATGTCACTGACTCGCATCGAGTTGACGCCGACGCCTGGTGACCCTAGAGGACAGGGTAGAACTGCCCCCGTGAGTCTCCAAGACTGTCACTCTTTACGGAAGCAGAAAGCCCTGTCTTTGTCCTGCAGAGCAGTTGGTGGTTTTGAACTGCGGGCCTTGCGGATCGCAACCCTGTCCGTAACCACAAAGCCACCAGAGCCACTTTACGTCGTACCATTGATCCCTTTCTTCATCTTCTCCAGCCATTCTCACCTGCCTGTCTGAGTTGTTTGTTCTGAGGTCATGTGTACATATGTGTGTGCATACCTGTGCTTATGGGCCTGAAGCCTTTGGGCATGATTATCTTTTAGAAACCAAACTCACGGTGCCCCTGAAGTCTGGCCAGCAAGCACTTTGGGTCACCTACAGTTGGCTCCTCTGGCCCCATGCCTGGTCTGTAAGGGCAGGGCACCCGAAAGGGAGCTCCTGGGTGTAATGGTGACACTCCTCGGTGCCCTGGCCTGTTTGTGCCGGTAGGGTATTCAGGACCCCGGGAGCCAGGATGCTCTCTTTCACCAGTGAGCGAGTGACTGTGAAGCTGCCCCTGGTGCGGTACTCGGGAGGCTGGAGCCTGGAACACTTGCTCCCTGGCCCAGATCAACACAAGTCCAGGAGACTCTGAGGACTGGCCCGGCCCTTCAGGGTGGGGTGGGAGAAGGTTTAATACTCTCAACAATGTGGACTTTCCAGGCAGAACTGGAACGTTGACCCAGAAGATGAAACAACACACTGAGTCTCTCCTGCCTCTCTAGCAAAAAAGGAGGGAGGGTGGCGCGTGGGCGCTTGGGGTTATGTTAAAATAACATTTGAGTCATCACACCAGGCACCTGTGTACGTATTTTATGCTAGGCTCTTGGGTAAATCGATAAAGTGGAGATCCTGACTCAGAGCTGTCGGGGAAGGACAGCCAGGTAAAGGGGTGCCACCCGGGACCAGAAATGTGTAAGCCGAGTGAGGAGAACACAGGAGAGAGGATGGAGATGCCTGGGAGTTGAGGATGGCTTTGGAAAGGAAGTGATGGATGAGGGGAGTCCTGCTTGTGAAGTAGGGCTGGGAGGGGGCCTTTGAGACACAGGGAGGCCAGGAAGAGAAAGCCCTCCTGGGATGGTCGGGAGCTGCCGAGCTCATTTTGGTGAGGTGGGAGAGGGATGATTTGGGATGCAATGAGAGCTGACAGATAATAAATGTGGGGGACCCGATTTGGGGGTGGTTCCTGAATGCATCCTTAGGGGTGTGGGCTGTCTTGTCTAGGGCAACAATGTGATCAGAGCCCAGGGTTAAAGTGGTGCTGGAAAATAGCCCCAGGGGAAATGATGACACCTGAGAGGAGGGTACTGAGCAGAAACAGTGGCTGGGTGTTTACGCCATTTCCCTGTCTTGTCTGTAGTAATAGCTCCTTGGTTCTCGTGTTACACTTTTACATTTTGTGCTACATCACAATTTATCAATTCCATTGAGTAGACTGTGGTTGTCCCAATTCCAAAAGGTCATGGGAAAATGACATTATCTCTGAATTCCATTTTCAGCCAACTTGTTAAAGTCCCCCACCCCCACCCCACACACACACAATATGAGGCTTCACACCCTTGTGAATACACACTTCGTGTGATCGCTTGTCTTTGCCCATTCCAGTGGGTCTGGGCCAGTGGCTTGTTTTCATTGGCATATGTGTCCGGACAATGGGTTCCTTTGTCATCCATGGGCTACTTAAATATTTTACTTTGCGAAGTTTATTCCAATCTTTTGCCTGGTTTTCTGCCTTCTTATTATTTGGTTACAGTATCATTAAAAGCACATGCAAGTAACATTTTGCTGAAGATCATGCAACAATACTTGCAATAAACACTGGTAGGAAGCTGCTAGAAACTCAGAAGAGGACGTGGCAGCAGGGAGTTAGTTCACTGCTGGTGACAGATGGGTCTTGGCTGAAAGCAAAGAATACTAAAAAGATGTTTTACTTGTGTTTTCTTAACCATGCCAAGGCATTTCAACTCTGTGGATCATAGCAAAATATTGAGGAGAATGGGAATTCCAGGATATTTCATTGAGATCTGCACATGGACCAAGAGGCAGGGGCTTGAACAGAACAAGAAAGTGATGTGTGCTTTAAAATCAAGAAAGGTGTGCATCAGGGTTATAGCCTTTCACCATGATTATATAAACTGTCTGCTGAGCAAATAATCTGAGAAGCTGATCTGTATGGGGGGAAATACTGTGACACCAGGATTGTAAGAAAGCTTATTAACCTGTGATATGCAGGTACCACAACCTTGCTTGTTGAAATCAAGGAGGATTTGAAGCAATTGCCGATGAAGA